TTTCAAGACTGCCCTAGTAAAAGCCTTCCCTGTCGTAAGGGATCGTGCGAAATTAGAAACGGAACTTTTCAGCATATATCAGCAAAGAATCGAAAATCTCTCAAGCTTTATTTTAAGAAAAATTCACGTCTTCAAACTCTTGTATGGAAACCGTCCGGATCCTGAGATAATTCAAGTGATTTTGCCGAGGTTACTTCCCCAAGTGCAAGACTTTATTAAGAAATCCGACTACACTGGAAAAGTTATTTGAGCTAGCAATCCAGTTTGAAAGTAGAAGAACGGCGGACATTGAAAGAAGACGCCAATATCAACAACGAAACCAATTTGGTGCGCCAAGACCACAGCAAAGTCAAGCACACGGCTACAGAAGCAAAGCGAATCAGTGGGCAAAGAAACCCGAGCATTCTAAAACAGCCGGCGAACGTCGACAGTTCAATAGCAACCCAGGAAAAAAGTCTGAAGGCCAGTGGAAAAAGAAGGAAAGCATGGAAACAAAAAAGGATTTTAAACTAAAACGGATTTCTGCTGACGGGAGGGTGCGGAAATCCGAAGGCCAACGAAAACCCCTCTTCCTCAAGTTAAATACAGTAATGGTGAAAAATTTGACTCTTCCGAAGATTGAAGTGTTGGTGAATAATATCCCAGCCACCGCACTCCTGGATACAGGCGCGCAGTGTTCCTGTGTGGCAGATTTTTTTAGGAAGTATTTTCGGAAATACCGCATATATAATTCGGATAATACGACAGTGTTAGCGGCGCAAGGAGAAAGATGTAAGTGCATAGGTAAATTACCACTATACATCCGTATCAAGGACAAACAAGTAAAGGTTATGTTTTTCATAGTAAAGAATCTGCAGGCACATATTATCTTAGGAATAGATTTTCTTTCAGAGGCACAAGCAACGCTGGATTTTAATGAAGCGTCCCTTAAGCTGACGATGAAACCAGTTCGTGAAGAAAAGGCTGAACCGCCGGTGTTAAAACTTGACCACCTGCCTAATGAAGAGCAACGAAGAATCTGACAAGTGGTAAGTGAATTTGCTTTGTTATTTAGTGATATTCCAGGATTTACACAGGGAAAAACTTATCCCCAAGGTTAATAAGATGGGCACTCAAGCTACAAGAATATAATCTGGTAATCAGGCATAACCCCGGAAAGGAAAATATCGTAGCAGATGCCCTATCCAGAATTAAAATAGATGAAGAAGGTAATACTGTAAAGGTGGCAATGCTCACAGCATGTACAATAAATTCCCGAGAAACTGTAATAACCGAACTGGGTAAGGATCCTGAGTTTGGAAGCATTTATGAGTATTTAAAGGATCCTGAAAATTTTAGCCACCAAGATATTGTGGCGATAAGAAATAGGGCGGCCCATTACGAACTAATAGATGGTCTATTATTTTATACAAAAACTACGAATTCCAACAACGAATTTCGACCTGTTATCCCAGCTAGTCTTAGATTAAATATCCTGCAGGAGTTCCATGAGCTTCTCATGCTGGTATTCGAAAAACTATCCAACGCGTACGCGAGGCAGTCTATTTTCCTGAACTGCAAAAGTTAACAAGGGCGTATGTCCAGTCCTGCCCAACATGTCAAGCAGTTAATTATATTAATTTCCGCCCGGCCGGGTTTCTAAATAGTATTAAATCCGAATTTCCAAATGAAATAATTGGCATCGATTTATTGGGCCCTTTTCCAAAAAGTCAGTTAAATAAAAGTCGCTATCTCCTTGTTATGGTTGATCATTTTAGTAAATGGACCGAAATTGTTCCCTTAAAACGAGCCTCCGCGAAATTAGTTACTGATTCTATTTTAAATAAATATATTTTAAAATACGGGGCGCCCCTAAAAGTTATATCGGATAATGGTCCTCAATTTGTAAGTAATGTATTTGAAGACATGTGCCAAAAACTGGGCATACGTCATTTAAAAATGGTCCCGTATCGGCCGCAATCAAATATAGCGGAACAGGTCAATAGAAATATAGTGAAAATTATCCGTAGTTATGTTAAAAATTTTCATAAAAGCTGGGATAACTATGTCAATGAATTTGCTTTCGCCCTTAGGACCGCAAAACATGATACAACGGGCAAAACTCCTGCTGAGTTATTTTTAGGCAGAAAGATTATAACGCCGTTAGATAAATTATTTTATGTGCAACAAAGAGCCCCAGAATTTAAAATGGGTGATATAGAAAAATTAATTAAAGAAGCAAAAAAGAATACTGAAGTAGCACAAAGAAAACAGAAAGAAGCTTTATTATGACATGAAAACGACGGGGAGTAACTTATAAAGTAGGGGATGAAGTGTTAAAAATTAAGCATTCACTTTCTTCAGCACCAGAAGATAAAACTGCCAAATTTTTTCCACGATTTGAAGGACCATATGTCATAGAAAAAATAACTCACGCTGTTGTAGTGGTGTTAAAAGCCAGAAATGGTGAAACGTGCTCCGCAAACATTGATCAAATAAAACCCTACTATGATCGTAATAAAATGCAAAATTTTCAAAGATCATTTGCAGGATCCGGCACGGCAGAGACACGGCAGGCACAAGCTCCAGAGGTGGAAACAACGACAAGCACAAGGACAAGCCAGTAGGAGGCAGGAGCAATTGAAAAGAAAGTTTCCCCGTTGGAAAATTGAAGGTAACAAGAAAAAAGAAGCCGTTCCACCGTCCAGAAAAGAGAGCTCACGAACACCCCCGGAATGAAGAAGGGAAAAGTACGACGAATGAAAAGAAAGCCAGGAGAAATAACGGCAACTATAACCCGGCTGCCAAACGGAAGATCTACTCATCCGGACAGGAACTCTCCGCAGCAAATGTCGCCGAACTGCGGAAGGGCCACCAGCGGCGGAGGGGAAAAGTACAAGGAAAATTTGAACGGCCAGCAACGAGGTCCAAGCAGGAATGCGAGAAGTGTCTCCCGGTTCCGCCAAGACCAGCTGCCATCAAACGGCCAAGACCACAGGCAGAGGCGAAAAAGAAGGTATTCAAGGGTGACCGAACTGGGGGAAAAAGAAAGCTTCTAGAGGAAGGCACTGAAGGGCGAGCGAGCCCGCACAAGAAGGAGGATAAATCAAACCAGAATCTGCGCTACCTTCCAGGACTGGGCTCAGAAAAGAATGTCCGAATATCACAAAGATAAGTAAAATTTTATGTGTTACTTTGCAAACTTAAGTTAATCTTTCATTCTTTCTTACTGCAAGTGGCAGATTTCAAGAAGTTTTACCTCATGTGAGGTCTACCTTTATCGCCAAAAAGGCGAGAAATGAGTTGTTACCGATTTTGGTATTATGTTTTTCAATTACTCGCGCGTAAAACTAAAGTTGATGTAGAATAGAAATGTGTAAATACTTAAATATTGTAAAAGTTATTGTATAAATTTTATTTAAATCATTCTGGCAAGAAAGAAGTTTTAGTCTGAAAGACTTTTTTTTCAATGTAGAAGAATTGGCACTTGCTTTGAAAAGAATAGAAGTTAACAATGTACTACTAATGTATGTTTTAAAATGCGTAAAATTAACGGCATGTTAATATGTTCTTATATACAATGTGAACTGTTATTTTAAATGTTAAGAAATACTGTGATATGGTAAAAGTGAAAGTAATGCCAAAAATTTTAAACTTATTCGTGTGACTGTAAAAAGACCAAATTATGGTGAATATGTGTTAAAGGTTGAATGAATGTAGTTAGGCTCTCTGACGCTACACTTCAGAGTTAGCCACTTTTCAGAATAGTACCTCAGGGTTTAGAGTTGAAGATAGGGTGTGTTACGAGGTCTTGGTTATGTTGAATTTTAACACGTTAGTGTTTTGATTGTAGGAGGCAGTGTTGAACACGTATACATAAAACACATTCGTGTTTGGTGTTCTTTTACAACACATGTCAGAGAGCACGGGAGAGATAATTAAAATAGTCATGAATGAAATAAGAATGTTAAGAGAAATATAAATATTGCATGTTACTTGCCATTTCATTGTGTAACATTTCATTAAACTAGTTTTCCTTCCAGATCTCTGGAAGGAACCAGATTTGAATAAAAAGCTCCTGTTTAGATGCAGTACAGATGAAAAATTGGGTTTGTCCATGGAGCTGCTATTGTAAAAACAAATGTTTTTTAAATTTTCTAGTTTCTAGTAAGAAATGTTTGTAAAAAATTGGCCTCGCGTTAGATTCTAGAGCTAAAAGATTTCAACAAGGTCGTTTTAGACCTCAGTTTCAAACTAATTAACTCTGGCGGGAAGTATGTAAGGATCTTAAGTTTTACTAACGTTTATTTTATTTTAAATCTTTACTATCACTTCTTAATTTCTACTTCCGGCCAGAATTAAAAGCGTTAACTTATTTATGCAAAATTTGTCTGGCGAACGCCAATCTTCCACGTTTATTATTCCAAATTTAAGTTAGAGTTTAGTTATATTTTTATATTCTTACGTTCAGACCACAAGTAGTTGGTCTCTGTATTCCGAAGTACGGAAATTATTGTAAAGAGTGAAAAATAAAGGGTTTTGTATACCCTTCCTGTGTATCTTGTCTACTTCCCACAGTTATTGAACATAGCTTTAGTAAGCTCCCTGTTCCGAGTCAGGTCTGTGCATGTTCCCAAAGAAAGTAAGACGGAACATTCAACCTGATAGATTGAAATTAAAGCAATTTAAAATTTGGCAGACTTGAGCTTGACAGTAAAAATGCATGCATTTTATGAGAGACTAATATGAGTTCTTAGAATTGGCAACCAGTTTCCCTTTTAATAAGCGTGAATTAAAGATCTTCCAAACTAAACTTAGGAACTAAACTTTATATTTTAAGTAAGTATGACACATACGTATCTATAGCTACTCCTACTCTAAATTTTTATGAATATTAAAAATGTTCTATGACTAACAGTTGTAATCACAGTTCTTATTCTTTTCGTCACGTCAAACGAACAAAATTTAAACAAAATATTATGTCGATTCGCAATTGTTAATCTGTATTTGAAATATTTTACCTGTAACTATTATCCTTGCATAATTTCTGCTGATTCGTTTTTCTTTAGTGACACTATTTTCTGTGTGGCATCGAAAACTATATGTGCTGTCGTGCACAGTAGTATCTTTAATGTAAAGGTCGCCATTATCCAGCATTCCATATTTACCTGAAAAAAAGAAGTTGCTTAGTAATATTTATTGCATATTAAAAGGAACAATATTACGTTTGCAATTTCTTTCATACTGGCATACCATTTTGCTTTTAGTTTCATATTTTTCTGTATTGTATTGCCAAATTTGGTAGTTGAAGCTGTTCTCAAGTTGCTTTCGCATAATTTTAATAATTTAAAAAAAATAAAAATGCTCATTTGCTGGCATATTGGTACTTTTCATTATTTATTTGCAACTGAATCAAAATCCTTAATTCAGAAATATTTATCGAAAGTGTTTTTTTTTTTTTTTTTTTTTTTTTTTAATCTTCTTATCTTTAATCATGAGACAGTGATTTAAAATTATACACTGGATTGGAAAATTTAATTCTCTAAATTAAAGTAATAGTTTTAATAGAAAAAATACTTTATTAAGGGCAAGATCAGGTTTTTAAATCGTGATTCAAAAATCTTTGGTGACTTCAGTATTAACGTGTAGAACATTTTTCTGTATTTACATACATTTATTTGGTATAATGTTCAGCTCCGTTTATGAGAAATACCTAAAACCAATTCATACTTCATTGAAAGTTAGAAATATTATAAACATTTAAGAGTCAATTAATAATTCATTTAATAATGCTACAGAACTTAATTTAATAATATTACTGAAATACGCAATGTACCATACTAAAACAAGAAACAGCATTTTTAGAAACTTAATTACAACACCATGTAAACAATAATGCTTATATTCCGTGCATACTTGCACTGAACGGTCAGTTCCTCATTGAAGAACACAGCGAAAATTTTATTTGTAGAAATCCCTCTTTATTAAAAATAATCACCATATCAGTTTTACTGATTCAAAATACTATTTGGAAAAATTACACAAAAAACTTATAGATTATGAATTAAAGGTAGGAAAATGACACTGAAAAAGAAGAAAGAATATATTTCTTACATGATGTTCTAAAGGCTAACTACTATTATTCATGAGATTAGCAATTTCCTAATTATACATTATATTTAGTAGATTAATGCAAAAAAGTCTTGAAAAGTGCAACATTAATAACAATAATAACTGCAGCTGATGAATAAGTAATAATATAAAATCACAAATTAATACTGAAATAACCTAATTCATAATATGTCTGCAATAAATATAAAAATGCATGTTTTGTTAAAAAATAAATCTGCTTTACAAATTTAAAGTATCATTCATAACAGCCAGCACATTGAGAAACGTTTTTAAAGAAGATATTTCTAAGATGGTTTCTAAAACAGATTTTATAAGATAGACGATTTTAAAAATCAAACTTTTTGATTTTTATATAAAAAATGCAATATTGTAAATATAGGCAGTTTTAATGTATGTGTTTTTTTCTGTGCTATAGATTTATAAAGTTATCATATACTCAAGACATATATTATTTAATTTAGGCCTTAATAACATAAATTGTAAAGAAAGAATTGCTAGCATTCTCATAATATTATTATATATTACTACATGAGAAATTCTTTGTAATATAGACTAGAGATTTTAGAAAATTTGAACAGTCAAAAATAATGAATTGTGCATTTAGTACATTTTCGGATAATTCACTAATTTAATTTAAATATAGTATGCAAAGAATTTTCCACGAGTAATTGGCTCGTAAACAACATACAAAGAACACATCAAAGAAAATACACGGTTTGAGACAGCAATTCTAATAACATAAATTAAGTTTTGATGGATTATAATCATACATACATTCTAATTAGTAGGTCCAACTCTGTCTTGATGAATCGAACTAAAAGATTGTTTCCTAAAGTTAAAAAAAAAAAAAAAAAAAAAAAAAAAAAAAAAAAAAAAAAAATGCTTCCAAAATTCTGCGTAAAGGCGAGATATAATAAAATCTTTCAGAATAAATATTCTTTTTAAAACGACATTCTTTCTTCTAACACGACGATTTCTTTGGTCATAATTGCGCTTTTGCAGCTTTTAATTCTTTCATTCATGCAAATCCAATAAATTACATTTTCCTTAATTTTATTCTGAATTCGATACTGATTACCTTTATAAAAGGTTAAAGGTTTTTTTTTTTTTTTTCTTTTAGTTCCAATAATGTCCTAAAGCATTCCTGTTGATTAATATAAGATGTGAAAATAGCAGCTAATATTGTAGCAGAATTACAAATGGAATGGAACTTGAGATTTCAAGAGAAATCTAAACTAAGACACGTCTTCAATCTAACGAAGACTAACTTATTCACAAAGAAACTTCCCAGCTCTTCTTAATGACACATCATGACATCTCCTGAGGAGCTGTGGAAGGGTACATTACTCACTGAATTTCGCGGGAACAGGAAGAACTTTGAAAAACGCGGAAACAGAACTAATTCGCACGTTTAGGGCCATCAATAAGGTTCATGTCTTAGAAATGTGATAATAGTATCTTTGTAGCATTATTGTGAGATAGAAATTAGTTCGCAGTAGATATAAAGTGCAGAGATATGTAAGGCTAAAAGATTCATTGTTCGCTCAGGTTTTGAATATTTCGTATAGTAAATAATTGTCAAGCATTAGCTTTAAATTTCTCCACATACAATTTATGATTTATATGCGTTATATCTGTTCTCCTTTTAAAACTATTAGAAACCAGTTCTAAACTTAGTTTAGATTTCATTTTCCATTCCTGACGTAGAACTGTAGCAGTGATGAGAATACTATCTGGTTCAGTAAGCTTAAGGCTCTCATAGGCATTAAATATTATTTCTAATCCTTTGTCTGCCAAACTCAAATGTTCAGCACAGCCGTACTGATATACGTACTGATATACATGCATTAGTAAGATGTACAGGCTTTTCCTTTGTGAAAATTTTATATTATTAAATAATTATCTTTAGTGACACTATTTTCTATTCCATTAGTAAATCTAAATATTAATCATGTTGCATAACCTGACCTAATAATCTACTTTTGATCATTTTAGTGATGTGTCTTCGTTTGTGAAGCTAGGATATATTTGTAAGTAATTTACTACCTATTCCTATGTTCTCAAGCACTTACTACAAATCTCCCGTAAACATTTTAACTTGTGACAGCATTCAAAATCTTAGGTTTCTTCCCACATGAAAACTTCAAAATATTGTCTCCACTTTCAAACGAAGCACTGTAATTTGACATTGCAACACAACTATTGTGTAGGAAAGTTCAAAGCGTTTATAATAGCAGTAAGTGCCTGCTGACAAGTGACAGGTGTGGGCGGTTTCGGATATCCGGGATGCTTACAAGAATTATTCGGGTAAATATTTGTTGACAAAAGAAATCTTTCGACTCAAGAAATAATTTGAAACGTGCCTCTTTTGAAGCCTTACTTTAATGAAAACTTTTAAAAACAGAATAGCTTCGTTAAAATTTTGAATTGTTCTTTATAATAAATTGAATCTATCTTGATTTACTGCATATCAATCTTGGCTTTTCGTCTGATGGCTTGGAGAATTTCCAAACTCAAGTTCTTCCCATCATCAGTGAAGCTGATAAAATCACTTTTTCTGCATGCATTTACTGACAAATGCTGATGCATCACTACATCACAAATAAAGTGAATTTATATGAAAACATATTTTGTATTCCAAACAATTCCTATTAAAGAGAATATGATCATAATAAGAAACTAAATTTAAATTACAAAAGAGATTTATCCAATCAATGATGGACATTTCCTTATGCCATTCTTATAGTAATAAGGTTGATTTATTTTTACGAAAATCACCATTGAAACAATCAATACAGATAATTATGTTAGGTCAATGTCCTCTAAATTTGGACTGACTAACAGTTTTGATTTACCAGATAATAATAACGTCAAGTTTCTCCGATCGGAAAGCATGTAAATATGTTAAAGTAAAACAGTTCGTATGTAAGCCTTTGATGATCATATGAGTTTAGCAAACAAAGGATAAGAAACAGTCTTAGTGGCCTACGAGAACTTTAAACTCCGGAGAGACATTATTCCCATCACTGATGTGATTCGTTTAATTTATTTGGAATTTTATATGAATTTTAATACTTTATTACCGGTTAACAGGAAGGATAAGCTACCAAATGAGGAGTGGTTTCGTTGCAGATTACTTTTCTCCTGATGAAGAGGGACTTTGTCCACTCCTGAAATCGATGGAGTTTCTATGCTAAAATCTATGCCTAACATAGGTTGTTGCTTCACATTTACCAAATGAATAGCGTCACTATACAGGTCAACTAAAGACCAAAGTTTCGCTCAGATTGAGTCTTTCCGTCTACGCATAACCGGTTCTTTATTGGATTATGACAACGAATCTCGCGGTGGTATTTTCTTGCAAACTCTTGCAGCTTTTATTTTTTTTTAAACTACACAACTCGTTTTGAAGACGACTTTAGTGAATAGTTCTCTAACTATGAAGTATGCATTACGCTTCTTTTAAAAACGAAGAAAGTATTTTCATATGCGAAAACTGTTTTGGATTTAACCTCTCCTTTTCCAACATTATGGCAAACGGAATTTTATTTAACTCCATGCATTAGAGATCTTAGGAAGCAAATATATGGCTCTTTTATACAGAATAGCCTTTTAGTAACATCCTTCTATCCATTGCGGAAAAAAAATTTATTTTGCAGCCAATATATGCTCATCGAGCAATCTAATGAAGACATTAGCATCCAATCCCTAAAGCGTTCGTAAAGTTTAACTTGCGAGTACACTTTTCACTCTATGCCATTAAAATTAAGTAGGAGAAATATTTGAGGTGTTCTTTTTACCATTTTACCAGTGATCTGGATATCTAAAGACTCGCTTCTGTCAGAAAATTTAGACTTCTGATGGGCCACTATTGTTTGCAGGCTTACCTTCATTTGGACTAGTTTATTTTCCTGTTTGAGATCTGTGTTTTTCTAGACAGCTCCTGATGATTAATCGCTTGGAGAAATATTCTGCAATAATGCTGTACTATTAAAATCTGTGCGTGTCTGTTTGTGGCATCATGTCCTCCGGAATGGCGGAGAGCTGAGTTTCGAGAGAGGTACTCCCGGCCTCCAAAAATTCGTAGGAAGCCATTTCGACCATTATCATCTTTCTGCGAATTTAAGAAGTCGACACATTAATTAAAAACTCTGAAAACATTAATTTTTGACTTATTTTTTACGAGTGGCAACAGTCTCAGGAGTCGCTGGAGATAAAAATGATTTATTTCGAAAAGTATTGCCACTGCTCGTAAGCAATCGTAGAGCTGCCAATCATTAAATAAAAGTAGCACTGCCAAGCATTAAATATGTTATTATTATTGTATAATGTCGTATTCTGGCGTTGAAGAAAGCACCCGATAGCTTATGACGTCATTGTATGTCGAAAATGTTTCGTTAATGTCAGCATTTTAAATAAATTGCTAAATAGCATTTTTGTTTCAGTTTAGGGTAACTGACCTGTAATATTAGTGCCACGTTAATGTTTTATTGACAGTGAGAAAAATTTTTTATATTACATTAAATTTAAATCATGACGTCATACGTATAGATATGACGTGTCAAAAGTTGTCCTGAAGTGTCAAAAGTTGTCTTTCCTAATTTGGCAACACAAAAATTATTTACGAATTGGTTGTTGCTTGGAAAGAATGAATAATTTCATTCGCAGTGAAATGTTTCATGCATTTTCTTTTCAGGTGTACATAGAAATTATAAATTTTGATTTGGCCACAACCTGCTCATCTGGCGGGCTTGCAGACTAGTCTTATCCTACTATTAAAATATGTGCGCCTCTGTCTGTTTGTTTGTTTGTAACACTATCTTCTCCAGAACGGTGGGGAATGGAGTTTCCAGAAAGGTACCTATGGATTCCAAAAATTCGTGGGTAGAAATTTTCGTGGTACTCATTTTTCCGAGTGTTAACAGTCGCAAGCATTGAAGATAAAATTGCTTTATTTAGAAAAGTTTTGCTGCTGCTCGTTTTCAAATCGTAAAGTTTGTTAATTAAAAATTTTTAAGTTTTACAAAATATTAAATAAGATTAGCATTGCCAAATATCAAACATATTATTATTAAATATGGTCATAGTCTGACGTCGAAGAAAGCACGCGATTGCATGTGATGTCATTGCAAGTCGAAACGTTTCCGTTAATGTTTGATAGTTAGAATTTTAAATAATTCCGTTAATGTTAGAATTTTAAATAAATAGCTGCTTTTCGCAACCCTTTTGTTTTAGGTTAGGATACATGACACGATATATTATTGTCACGTTAATTCTCTAATAGATATTTTAAAAAATTGTTATATTATATTAAATTTCAATCATTACGTCATATGTACTAGCTGAAGTGTTTTTGTTTCCTGGTTAGGCAACAAAATATTATTTACGAATTGGTTATTGCTTGGAAAGAATGAAATGATTTAATTTATACATATTTTTCTTTCATTTTCTTTTTAGACATACATAGAACTTATAAATTTTGTTTTGGTCGTAGCCCGCTAGTTGATATTAATAACAGTATAAGAAAATGTTTGAGAATAGTCTAATGTCCTAATAATCAATTAATTGATTGATAAAATGAAATTCAGAATATTCGCTGTCTCGGTCGTTTGTATTTATATAAAATTGGCTTTTTTTTTTTTTTTTTTTTTTTCAAATTTTCAGCTGGACTTATAAATATGAAACTCATTTTAAAGCAACCAAATTTGCCATCATGTTGTTTATGAATATACATCAGCCGAATTGTCATTATTCGCTTTTCACTCTCAAACATTTGGGTTACTAGTTATATCATATTAAAGTTACTGATTTCTTCAAGTAACATTATATTTTAACGTTACTTGCTCACATGTATTTTAAACAAAACAATTTTGACAATTGTTTTTAAAGTTCCAAATTATCTGACAGATTTATAGCCGAACTATGTTTCAAAGCAAATATTAGTATTTGCAGTCATAAATTTTATTACACACTTATAGAGAAAATAATTTTCTCTCATAATATAAATAATTTAAATAAAACAATCAGAAGCTAATAAATAAACTTTTGGAAGAGCAGTGAAAAATTATTTTCTTTGCATTATTTGAAACATAATTTTCATTTGTTTTGTATGATAGAAAAGTGAAAAAAATGGCAATGAGGATCAAAATGTGGTTCTATCTTATTCCATATTATTCTGTTAAAAAACATTAAAATAACAAGTAAACATAGTATAAATTGTGCCATTTAGTATTTGGGAACATATACAAAAATTAGATATCCTGTTTGTATTTTCAATACTTTGTTTAATGATTGAATTTCAAAAATACATAAAATACAACTCAACACCAGAACAAATTCTGTAATGGTGCTAAAAATTACAAATGAAATTTTAAATAGCCATTTTAAATAAAACCAAGACAGATCACTTTTCCAGTAAACTCCAATGAAGAACCATTCGTTCAGCTAAAGGAGGCCCCACAACTTCGAATCAATGTTATTTGCCCCCCCCCTGATGTTTTCATGATAAGCAAAATATTAACAATCCTGGATCTCAGTTCTAAAGAGTTATTTAAGAAGCATAGAAGCAAAGTTATCCTTTGTGCAATACAAATATTTACAGCTAATCACATGAAGGGAAGGATTTCTATCAGACTCAATACACTCCTTTCTTTTATTTGTCTCTCTTTTTATCAGTTTTTTTTTTTATTCTCTGTAATTTGCTTTCAATTAAAAGAAAACGTAACTTCAATTCAGATGCTCTCCTTCTTAAGTCAGAGATAGTAGAAGCATAAATTTATACACAATCCTAAGAAATATATTGCATATAAAATGGTGATCCATACCTTTCATAAAAACGCTTCCAAATAATGTTTCTATATCAGGCAATTCCTGAAGCCCGAGGTTTGACATCGAGAAGGTTGTTACCACTGCAAGAACAGCAGTAATTTCGATGAAATTTCCAAGTGTATTTTGCCCATTTTTCCTTTAAGTGAGAATCTGGGACTCTGTGCTGATAAATGGGAACATCGATTAATATGTACGTATGCATATAACGTCCTGTATAGTCAATCAGCAACTATGTGCAACGCAGTTATGTCGCAACTCAATAAGATCATGAATACTAATTCTGATTGCAGTACCAAAGGACCCGGATAAGAATCCCGGAGAAGTTTATGGATGTAATTTGTCCATTCCTTCATAACTGGCAACAGTGGCTCATCTATTAGATGCTTCTATTATAAAGAAACCACACTTGCGGCCTTAGTAGTGGTTACTGCATATAAACGACTAGATCCCGCGATTGGAGAAAAAACAATGTAACACTGGTATCAAGAAGCTGGATGACTCACGGCTCAAAACTTGTTTCCTTGGGCCATATAATTGTTGATTTTCAAAATTAAACTCTGAATGTTTTTAGTGTTTCATTTGGCCAGATAATATTTAATTTTCGAAATAAAACTTTAAATATTTTTATCTTTCTCAATTACCTAGAAGATTTTATGAAATGGTTGGTGTACGTTAGAACTAGCATTTAGCATTTAGGATTTTGATGAATTATCTTGAAATAAAAAATAGTTCATGTATTAGAAAACCCTTTAACTGTAAAGCTGTAAATATCTTTGGAAGTTAAAAATAGAAATTAATTAAGGAATAGGAGAACAAACGAACATAAAATATTTAAAAAAGGCAGAATAAAAGTTTTTTTTTTTAGAAAGCCAATGCTACAACTTATCAAAATAAAATATAAAAAAAAAAAAAAAAAAAAAGAAAAAAAAACTGTTACTAGAATTTACAAGAGAACCAGATATGAGTTAAAGGGATTAGTATGACAAATCGGATCTTATTTGGTTTTAAAAACCTGAGCATTGCTGTTTAGTTTCAATACAATAATGATACTATACAAGCCGAAAAGAAACATTAAATGACTTAAATGAACGAGATCACTTATGCCAGACTTCTAGGTGATTGACTCATTCTCTATATAGAACAAGAAAAAATTTTCCATAGAAATTAAGCTCATATTTTGTAAATACTTCACTCCCTAAATATTATTTAGAACTTAAATTTTGAATACTCTCTGTCTACGAGAAGAACAGATCCCGTCACGGTGTCTGGCGAGTGACTGTCGCTATAGCAAAAGGGCTAATATATTTCAAATAGGGACGAACCAGGGGTTGCCAATTCATCTTTAAATACGCCAAGATGCCAAACTGAAAAGTAAATCTTCAAAACACACCTACGGAAAATGGGTCAAGGCTCGCTTCTACAGCAACAGAAAGCTGCAGACTAACTGACGAGAGCAGATAGACAGACTGTATACAATAATTATTAGATATAATTACAGAATCAAAAATCATTAAATCTTTACTATACTTACCACTTACGATTAAAGGTGTAATAAGAAAACCATCCATTCTTTCCCATGACGTCACAGTTACATAATCGCTGACATACGTTGGTATTGGACAATGTAGCACTGCCATGTTTCCCAACAACACGAACTCGTCAAATAACTGTATTTCATACAGTTGCATCACAACTGAAAGAAAAGTATAATTAGATATTAATTAAGTCTATAAAATTTCAAATGTATAAAATGCGTTAAAAAAGCTCCTTCTCATAAATTATATTCCTTTAATTATGGAGCGGCTCTTCATTCATATTAAATACCATTCCTGCTATTATCATCGTTTTCAAACAGATTCCAGTGTGATATTACTCTAAAATTCCAACAACCTCACACCTCTTTGTGCGTTAATGGACGGGGAGGGGAGGAATTTGCTGTGAATCTCGGGCATTTCGGTACTTTAAGCATACAGGCCAGCAAAGACTTTGGTTTCCTAAGGGTTAAAGGATTAGTATCGCATGTCTGATCTTGTTTTTTTTTTTTTTTTTTTTTTTTTTTTTAAATGTGATTTCAACTGAGTCAAGAGTGGAAAAAACTCGAACTCGTCAAATAACAATATTTCATACAGGTGCATCACAACTAAAAAAGTACTCTTAGATATTAATTTAGTCTGTAAAATTCGAAATATATGAAAGTGCGTTAAAAAACTGTATTTCAGAAATAATATTCTTTTATTTCGGATTTGCTCTTCACTCCTGCTATTTGCATTGTTTTCCACCAGATTTTAGTGTGCTATTATCCTAAAACTATTTAAATAAAATATTGAAATTTGAAAATTTAAAAACAAATTGTCACGAAATATTTAATAACTTTTAAGAATATAACAATTTAATACATTTTAGCCAAAATTTAATAAATAAGAATACAGTTGAAAGTAGCTTGTTAACTTAAAAATAACCTTTTTAAACTATTCCAAAATTTATATTTTGCTTTAAACATTTCTTTACGCTGCTTGAGCACGAATAATTTACGAACTATGCGCCAGTTAAATATCCTGTCAAATGAATAGCTTTTAGCATAAAGATTTTATAAGTAGCAACCATTCTTTTGAACTCTGTGATTAAACCTTAAACGTTTTAGTTTTTACAAAAGTCCTGGAAAGAGAATTTCTTTCAGAGGAATTTTAATAAATATATATTTATACCAAAAATGTGTGATCAATATTACTACAAATGTAAATAATATATTTGCTGTCTGGAGAATTCATCAGTGCATCTCTACTCGATATTACTCATGGATCCCTTAGCCAGAATGGGCCTTTGAAATCATAGCACTGAAAAGGAGCTATTCAGGCTTCCAATCAAGTCTTCAGACTCATCTGCAAGTTCCGCATTACTAATATAAATCTTGAATGAACCATGCAAAGCTGTTAACTACTAGGATGTTTGGAATGGTAGTTGGTTGCAAAGGAGTTTCATTAGAATGTTCAGATTAAATCCAGATACTCAATGTATACAGAATCTAGTTATACATGAGTCTACAATGAAGTCATTAACGCTGGCAAAAGAACTATGATATTCTTATTCTACTTTACATTACATTAATGTGCTTATTCTTTTATTTTTAAACTAACATGCCATTTGCACAGAGAAACGATAATATACGCACAGTTCCTAGAAATTTCGACTTTTTCCTATGCAATAATTCCGCAAGATTCAATATACGCATCTGGACTAATTATTGTATATTATTACTAAACTTAACGGAAACTACCCACAAGGTTATTTGTTATCCTTCACCTCAAAACGTATAAGTTCTAAAGAAGTTGCTTTAAGAAATCAAAACATGAAAAACGACAATTTAATTTAAAATAGTCTGTGGAAAATGTCAACAAATAAATAAGAATGGGGATAGAGTTCAAAATGCTGGATTTAATAAAAATGACGATTTAAAAGAATTATTTAATCATGACCGTGTATTTAATAGCAAAATAGGTGATATTTAAATACCTAAATTTCTAATAATATGAAAAATCTAAAAGAAATTCATAATCAAAATATTATCTAATTAAGAATTATTAATACATATATTCTATTTACTTCGTTTCTATTCACAATAATTGATTTACTTTCTCTAATCTTTTCACGTCCTCGTACATAGTGAAAAAGGAAGTATTGTAATCGAGAAAAATTTCGGGCATCATATTTCAACGAAAACATTCATTTGTACCGCTATTGAATGGAATTTAACGATGTTTTTGCGTGACTTCTGTATGTAAGGACAGAATAAAAGACTCCTTTTCCCAAAACGAATTATAAAATTGATTAAAAAGGGATTCTGAAAATATTTTTTTCGTGTCGTCTGTAAGTACGAATGTATGTATGTATCACGCATAACTCAAAAACGAATAGCCTCAGAACGCTGAAATTTTGTGTGTGGAACTACTATAACATCTAGATGTGCATGTCTCGTTTTGGCGGCAATCGGCTGCACCAAAAGTATATAAATATATGTATATGTATATATACTCTCTTGCTAGACTCCGTGAACTCAGTTTCTTTATTCTTATATTTTGGTAAATTGTGCACTTTTTACTTTAAAAATAATTTAATTATGTTGTTTTATCTTCCGGTTACGGTTTTAATGTCTTTAGATAATCTGCATGCGATAATTATAGAATTATCAACAATTTAGTAGTTAGTTAAGTGCGGCTAAGCGTAATTTGTCTATGTCATAGCAGCCATATGTGTTGACATTTGAAACTTAGCAGAATAGTGGATTTGTTGCCAATCTTGAGAAAGTAAGCTTCGCAATAACAAAGTAACATCTTAGTTTATTATCAGGATTAAATTATGTTCAATCCAATCTGGGATTATCATTTAAGATATTAAATTATCCCATATATCGACTCAGCGCCTACAACAAATTAAATAAATTTCTACGCCTTCAGTGTCTTTCTGCCGAGTGATACCCCCCCCCAAAAATATTCAGTTTTGTGCACCAAAATATATGTCTTCTGGCACGTTGGTCGAATTGTTTGTTTTTGCGTAGAAACTGTAATCTTAATTGTAAATGTATTTTTAATTTTTTAACTGTATTTGTTTTTTCATGTTTGTCTATATCTTTAAATTGTTAAAAAATATTTTGTGTTTTTATTATTTTTGCCTTGTCGCGAAGTGAGAACTGAATTAATTGAGTGAGAAATACATTTCTATTGAAAGTCGAGGAAACACGTGTTTCATATTAGCAGAAAATACTGTCTACAGTCTGTTTCGAAAAGGGGAGAATGTTTACGAGTAGCGCATGCGCAGTAAGTAAGCAGCGCTAAATCGTCTGCGAAAAACTGTTTAATTTTTGTTTTTTTAAAATCTTTTCTACATGGTTTTAGATTTATTATGGTATTTGAAGGGAACATGTGGCAACGATTAGATAATTCTTCAGATAGTATAATCTTTTTGCATTCTGAATTATAAAATGCAGAAGATGTAACGCTGTTAAGTGCACCTAGCGCCAGAGTATCGCTATGGAAAATAAATATAGTGAATTTTAAAAAGCGCATTTATTCTATTGCAGTTTATGCGCTAATGACGAAGTAGATTTAATTCAATTCAATAAGTTTAAATGAAATGCAGGAAAAAATGCGTACGATTTAATATTCCGTACAAGGAAGTCATATGGTGTACACATCAGATTTTTTTAAGCAAGAATCTTTATTCTTTGTACATAATACCTTTTAAGACCTTCAGTTAGGACATGTCGCTATTTGTTAAGACATAAAATGTTGAATCTTTATGTAGCACACTTAAAAGCAGGCTAATCTGCTATCACAGCTATTGCAATCTAACAACTATCTATACCGAAAAAAAATTTGCTTTTTCTCTCGCTACTGAATTCGGTTAATTATCGGCAATTATATCGAAAACGGCATCCATGTCAGAAACTTATCGTCGCATCCTACCTTCTAGTCTAATCAGGGTATTTTTTGTTATTTATACGCCACTGATTAACATTAAATACTTATGGACAGCGTCAAATTAATCTAAAATTTGGGGATCACGTGCTGAAATCTTGCTTGGTCTGAATTTAGAAAAAACTTTATGTTCAGCATTCGGTGCTGACAGGGAAACAGAATTACGAGTGCTATAATTTACTGTTTATCTGTCCTTACAGCAAATATCCAGGCTTTGTTAATTAAAATGCTCTCTGCTAATTGCTATTTGTTCTTTATTGACGTTACTTTGCTCTATAAATAACTCCATATCGTACTAAAGGCTCTTCTTCCAGTGCTTCAGAAACTCGAGCTGCGATTAATGACTCGTGCTGATCTGCTCCCCTATCGTAAAGAACAATGCAAAAATGGAAGTGATCTGTGAAGAAATTTACTGAGACACTATATTGAGAACATATATAAACGTGCAAAACATATTTGGTATTCAGTCGCAGCAAGGACTTCATATTTCTTAAATCCAGTATCAGATCTCAACTTGTAGAACAATTTCCGAGTTAAAATGACAAAGGCAACCGGTCTAGTGTCTTTCGTCTTACATACTTTATTTTACAACATAGAAAAAATCCGAACGGATTCTAAATAAGATCCTATACTATGGCTAATAAAGAAATACGAAACTGTTCAACCGAATAGATAAGGACACAATTGCATCTACGAGATGATCCTGCTCGAAAATCGAATATACAAGCAATCCATTAGAACGCATAAAAGTTGAAACTAAAACATCGCGATGTGAAATTCCATTTATTAAGGTAATAGTTAAGTTTAGTACTTTCCTATCACTCTCTTATGACGTACGCTTTTCATGTCAAAATGTAAATGAGACAACGAGCAGATTTAGATCAAGTTAGAAACAAGTGATATTTAAGCAAGATCTTCAGAAGTTAGTTTTAGAGCGTGTCTGCCAATTTCGGGCCACATTGTGCAGTGATTATTTGCGATATGATTCTGGGGCGTTAAGCGCTTCTAGCCATTTCGCTTGTCTCGGCGGATTTTCATGAACCAGAGCCTTTCCTGCTAGTTAAAGTAATATGTGAGACGTTAGGCTAATCTAACATACTTTCAATCGTTCAATGTTACGTATTTCTGCTAATCCAGAAGTGGCTGGCTTGTGTAAACCAAAGTTGGTTAATTGTTAATCCTGTGTTCGAGTAAAAGGGTCTTATACATCCTTCTTCGGATTTTATTTTGTTTCAATAGGCTTCATCAATAGTATTTTTAAAGTCTATGGTATATACTCCCTAAGAGAACTAGACGTTATACCATATTGAAAAATCATAGAACACCTGGAGAGCTTTTCCACTGCGCGAAAGGGAGTTATAAAATCGAATCGTATTCCGTATGTGTTTCAATACTGTTTCAAGAGTACATTATTTTGTGAAACTTCTTGCTTAAGTTTTATGAAATGGCTATCTAAGTTGATCTAAACGAATACATCGTAAACTTACATAGATATGAAGTAAAGTTTGAATACTTTTAATATTTTAAAAATTGCAATAAAATGTATTAAGTCATAAATATTATGTGAGTTTGGTGCAATATTATCCGTTGTTCAGGTGCGTCCCATATATCTGATAAAGGTATTCATCACTTACGGAAAATGCACCATACTGTAACAGATTTGCATTCATTCTACTTGAAGCGCCCATCTATGGCACACGAAGTTCCAAAACACAGCGTGAACGTTTCACTTTAATCTCGGCGTACAGCGGAAGTTACATTTGTAACAGCTTATTTCCGATTTTTCCTCCTACTTGCTCGTACATAAAATTTTATTTG